ATTTCCTTCACTTGAAGTTGGTTTTGCAACCTTTTTCTCTGTGCTAAAGTTATACCATTTCTTGACACTAAGGTCTGTCACACCCCAATAGGCAGATAGGCACGGCCATTCTGTTCCTCCCAGGTTTCTAAATTATATACTTGATTGGATTTGAATAGCACATTGACTGATTTTTATAGTATCCTATTCCTGTGAAGTCTTCGGCTCATTTTAACAATACCCCTTAGCCAGCCAGAGTTTCTTCCTGGTCCTCTTGCCCCAAACTTCACAAATCCCCTGTGACTTAAAATGAGCAGGCCCATGCAAGGCTGGGAACCTATGTCAGCTACTTTGTAAATGGTTCCATGTCTTTGGTATGTTTGCTGCTCAGATTCAGGAAAGTTGACCCACAAGGGAGTATCTTGAGCCATATGACTCTACCTACTCTGCCCCCTTTAGGGCCGCTTTGGATTGAGCTTTCTGTATACTGTGGCAGAGAATGCAATAGCTAGACACGCACAGAAAGCTGAAGTACCGGGGCTGGGATGTGGCTCAAGCGGTAGCGCGCTCGCCTGGCATGCGTGCGGCCCGGGTTCGATCCTCAGCACCACATACAAACAAAGATGTTGTGTCCGCCAAATACTAAAAAATAAATATTAAAAAATTCTCTCTCTCTCTACCTCTCTCTCACTCTCTCTTAAAAAAAAAAGAAAGAAAGCTGAAGTACCCTGAGACCTCCACATCTCCCCTTTGCACAAAGTCTGGCTTTGAGACCCAGCACTGCTTTTCTTTTGTATTGACTACAGCAGCTAACAAAAAGGCCTTCTCTCCTCTCTGCCAGATTTCAGAAAGGGCCTATTCATAACTGTGTCCTATTGATCCCTCCCAGGGGGTGGGGCAGAGACTAAGGAAAGTTCTGCAGAGGAGAACAGCAAGAAAATCTGGGGCTGCTACGCTCCCACAAGGCCTAAACACCCAGGGGACTGAGAATTCAAAGGTTAAGCCCTGGAGACCTTGCAAGAAGGATTACTGAGTTTGCTTGAGTTTCTTTCTCTCAAGATAGTGGGAGGAGAAAAGCAGCAGATAGGAATATAGATAGTCCACAGTTAGGTGGCACTAGGCACTAATTATAAAATTTTATTACACAAGCTCCTAGAATTTGTTAAAATGCAGATTTTTTTTTTTTTTTATTTTTAGATGGACACCTTTATTTTATTTATTTTTATGTGGTGCTGAGGATCGAACCCAGGGCCTCACATGTGCAATGCAAGCGCTCTACCACTAAGCCACAACCCCAGCCCGTAAAATGCAGATTTTTTAGTTCCACTGTGATTCAGTAAGTGTGAAGTAGAACCCCATATGTGTATTTTTAAATTTTTTATATTTATTTTAATTGTTGATGGACCTTTATTTTTTATTTGTATGCAGTGCAGAGAATCAAACTCAGTGTTTCACACATTTGAGGTAAGTGCTCTACCACTGAGCCATAACCCCAGCCCCCCATATGTGTATTTTTAAAAGGTCTAGGGTCACATTTTACCCAAAAACCTAAGAGGCCAAACTTTTTTTTTCTTTTCTTTGAGGCTAAACTTTAATGCTTCTTCCCTTAGTCATCCATCCTGGGTTTAGCAGAAACTCTATAATCCTCAGTTTGTTCTCACTGCACCCAGGAAAGTTCCTGGCAAATGGTAGGCCCTTTGAATTACATCAGACTATAAGTGGGGAGCTCAAGTTAATGGGGAGTGTTCTTGGTATTTACTAGCAAGATGAGCTGGGTCATCAAGAGAGAAGTTCAGTTGGAATATGGAAATCCACATTGATTCTCCAAACTGGGCATCTGACTACATGGAGGGCTCATTATAAAGACCTCTTGAGGGCCAGGCACAGTGGTGCACACCTATAATCCTAGCAGCTCAGGAGCTGAGGCAGGAGGATAGCAAGTTCAATGCCAGCCTCAGCAATTTAGTGTGTCCTTAAGCAACTTAGTGAGACCCTATCTCAAAAGATAAAAAGATGCTGGGGATGTGGCTCAGTGGTTAAGTGCCCTTGGGTTCAATTCCCAATACCAAAAAAGAAAAAAACAAATAAAAACCTCTTGTTATTTTGAGGGTCCTCTGATCCAGGGTTGTCTAGATGCTGGCAAACGTACTGGACTAATGTGCAAGAGATTCGAGTATAGGGACTGGGGGTGTCGCTCCACCACTGAGCTATGTCCATGAGGCCCTGAGTTCAAACTCCAGCACCAAAAAATAAAAAAAGTAAAAATAATTAGAAGGCTTGAGTATAGTAAGCTACTAATAAGTTGTCTTTTTTCTGGGCTTCCCTTTACTCATCATTCAAGGAAAGGTTAGTAGAGGAAACCCCTAAGGTGCCCTTCTGGCTGACTTTCTAGGGTTTTCCTTTTGCTGCCTCTTGCTCTGCCTTCACCCTAAGTTTGCTGTATTTGGACAAGGGCCAGCTCTAATGCTCCCATTCACCATTTGCCCATTAACTAGAACAGTACATGGCACATAGTAGGTGCTTATTAAATATTTATTGCAGGAATGAATAAATATTTATAACTGGTCATAAGGTAAAATAGCCCTCATTGGAATGATGCCCTGGGAGTAAGGCAGGGCCAAAAGCTGACTTGAGACTGCTGCAATTTTTCCAGCTAAGAGAATTCTTAAGAGGCACCAGCCTACCTGGCTTCACCAGAATGTCTGACAGCATTTAAGGTAACCACATTTCTTTTCCCTTAAACATATTTAGTATGTCCTATAAATGGAATACGTGTACATTATAGCAAATTCATACATTTTATTTATTGATTTTTGTTGCTGGGGATTGAACCCAGAGGCATTTTTTCACTGAGCTACATTCCCAGTCCTTTTCATTTTTATTTAAAATTTTTTTTTTTAGTTGTTAATGGACCTTTATTTACATGCAGTGCTGAGAATGAAATGCAGTGCTTCACACATGCTAGGCAAGCTCTCTACCACTGAGCTACACCCCCAGCCCCCTTTTTATTTTTGAGACAGGGTCTTGTTAAATTGCTGAGGGTAGCTTTGAACTTGAGATACTCCTGCCTCAGCCTCCCAAGTTCCCACGATTACAGGTTCGCACCACTGTGCCCGGCATATGCTTATACATCTTTTAAAAGTATTTTTTAAAAAAAGTATTTATTTTTTTTTTAGTTATAGTTGGACTTTCTTTCTCTCTTTTTCTTTCTTTTATTTATTAATATATTTATATATATATTTTTTTTTTTTTTTTTTAAATGTGGTGCTGAGGATCGAACCCAGGGCCTCACATGTGCATGGGGAATGCTCAACCGCTAAGCCACAATCCCAGCCTTTTTAAAAACTGCTCAAGGGGCTGGGGATGTGGCTCAAGCGGTAGCGCACTCCCCTCGCATGCGTTCGGCCTCAGTTTGATCCTCAGCACCATATACAAACAAAGATGTTGTTTCCACGGAAAACTAAATAAAATATTAAACATTCTCTCTCTCTCTCTCAAAAAAGAGAAAATTAAAAAAAAACTGCTCAAAAGAGAGTGAGTTTTCTATTATTCTGGTACTTTTAATATATACTTTTGGAATTATAGGGGAATGATATACAATACACATAGTTTTAAAAACTTACCTGTAATTCAAAGATATTCCTTGTTAATTTTTTTGGGGAAGGATACTGGAGAGGGAACTCAGGGGTACTCGACCACTGAGTCACATCCCTAGCCCTATTTTGTATTTTATTTAGAAACAGGGTCTCACTGAGTTGCTTAGCGTCTCACAGTTACTGAGGCTGGCTTTGAACTCGTGATCCTCCTGTCTTAGTCTCCGGAGTCGCTGGGATTACAGGCTTGTGTCACCAGACCAGTTTGTTAATTTTGTACACTTCAACATTTTTCTGTGCATGTCATTGTATATGGTATACTGCTTATATAGTGACATATTCTATGTTCGTTAAAGTGGCAAGCATCATTTTTGATGACTTCATGATAATAGTGCATTTAACCACTCCTTCTCAAGTAGCTTCTTTTGAGTATCTGAAATATCACAGTGAAAAGCATAGTTGCCCATACATTTGTATCTGTAACTGTTATTCTTTAGGATAGAATGCAGGAATGGAATTACTGGACCAAAGTGTATGTATCTCTTTAAGCTTCTTAAAAGAGTCAAAATATTTCAAAAGTTTTACTGATTTACACTCAAGGTCAGCATCTTTCCGTGAGCTTTATAACAGCCCCTACAGAGCAGAGAAATAGCTCTCGAGCTTGGAAGGCATCCTTACAGCTGTGTGACCCCTGCAGTGGGAGAGTCATGAATTCTTTCTGAAGTTCTGCCTCAGCTTCCCCTCTGCCGGCAGGGCCACTGCCCCGTCCGGTTTCCTAATTCGTTTTTTAAGTATCAGGGGAGAAAACTGAGCTGGAGTGGCGGAGTTGGTGGTGGTGGTTGTAATGGCCGGGAGGGTGCAAGTTGGTCCTATGTTTGCATAAAGATTAAAATTTGTCAACAAGAACCCAACACTTGGAGATCCTTCGTAGAGACGTCCGCTTATCCCTACAGAAGCTTCCAGAGGTGGAAGCATATCTAAAGAGGAGGCAGGAGCGAGGTAGAAGTTGGAGAGGATGTCTGACTTTCCCCTTTAGCGGGAGGACTGCGGCCCCTTTAAGGGCCAATCCGGGACTTGGCTCTTTAAATCTGTGTCAGTTTCCCCTGACGTCAGCGGGCGGGCCGGCCGCCGTGCTGTTTACCGCCGCGCGGCGCAGCTCACTTTCCCGAGTTCCGAGCGCCCCGGAGCCGCGTCCGCCCGCCCTTAAAGAGCCCGCGTCCGGGAAAACTCGCCGCCGCGCACGGCGTCCGGCTGCTATCACGCCCCTCTCCTTCCGACCCCCCGCCCTTCGCGGCCGCCCCCGCCGCCGGCTTCCCCTCCCCTCTCCCGGCGTCTCAGGGCTCCCGGCAACCAGCCGCCCGAGTTCCCACAACCCTGGCCGGGGGCTGTAGGGTCGCGGGGCCGTGCTCAGTCCCTCGCGAGCTGGGGTCCCTTCCTGCAGCCTTCCCTCCCCCTCCCCGCCGCCCCCTCCCCTCCGGGGCTCCTGGGAGCGCCTCCGCGGCTCCGGGGAGGGGACGTTTCCTAATCTCAGGCCGGGGTTAAAGTTCTGGTCCGGGTGAGATGCTGGAAGCTGTGGCCGCAGCCGCAACCCGTCCCGGAGGTGTCCTGTCGCCTGTCTCCGCCGCCACCACCCCTGCTACCGCTACCGCTGCCACTGCCGCCCTGCTGGGGCCATGTTCGCTCTGGGCTTGCCCTTCTTGGTGCTCTGGGTGGCCTCGGTCGAGAGCCATCTGGGGGTTTTGGGGCCCAAGAACGTCTCGCAGAAAGACGCAGAGTTTGAGCACACCTACGTGGATGAAGTCAACAGCGAGCTGGTCAACATCTACACCTTCAACCATACTGTGACTCGCAACCGGGTGAGGGCTGGGGCTGGGCCGGTGGTGAGTGGGTGAGCAGAAGGGCTAGGCTTTGCTTCCACTCCCCTGCTTTTTTAGGAGGCTCCATGAACCAGGTACCCTGCTGGGGTTGTTTCCCAGAACCACACAGGAGCCTTTTGACCAGTCCTTTTTTTCACCAATGTTTCTCTGAAGCTCCAGCGGTACAGTTTTGAATTTATCGTATTCCCATCTTCTCTTCTACCTGTTCCCTTTCACCATCTGTGGTCTGAGCACACTGGGCCTGCTCCACATCCTGACCCTCAGTATCTGGTAGTCCTGGGGGGTCTGAGTTCAAGGGAAGCTTGCTTGCTACTGGGTTTACCCAGACAACCGCAACAAATGAGAGAGGCCTGCAACTGAAAGGCTCTGCCCAGGCAAGTAGAAGTCAGACTCTCTGGGGAGATGAGTGAAGGACTTCCCAGTCCTCTCCCTACTTCAGAGAGCCAGCTGGCCTTCCAAGTGGAGGGTGGTAGAGATAAGATCAACAGCAAGTTGGGTGGCAAGGGAAAGGGAGTTAGTCCATCCCCTTTGAAGAATCTGTCTCACCCGAATTTTTCTTTGGATTCTTCCCAAATGTGAGAGTGGTTTCTTCCCAAATGTGAGAGTTGAGAATGGGCATAGTTAGGCCTGGGAAGTCTAGACCCTAGGTAGAGCACTCTGGGAGAGCTCTTACAGTCAGGCTGGGTGGTCTCCTGCCTAGCTTTCTTGCTCTCTCTCCGTGACTGGGTCTAGATTTACTGGAAAGCAGTGGAGTTGAAAATGGAGAATTGGAATGCTCTTCAGGCCAGACAGGGTTTGGTTTCTGGAAGGCCAGGATCTGCCTTTAGTACCTGGTTTTCTGAAGTTTGATCTCCTCCTGCTTGGAGTCCTTTTTTCCCCCATATCTGGGGTCATCCCAGAGCTATCATGTCTAACTGGGTATGGTGGCACACTTTTATGATCCCAATTATTCAGGAGACTGAAGCAGTAGGCTCACAAGTTCAAGGACAGCCTGGGCAACTTAGTTTACCCTGTTTCAAAAAATAAAAAAGCTGGGGATATAGCTCAGTGGTAGAATGCCTCTGGGTGCAATCCCAGTACCGCCCCCCCACACACACACACACAATCACAGTACCACACACACACACACAAAAAAAAAAAGCCTTTAGAAAAATACTACTCTAAGCCTTGGGCTTCAGTACCCCAATAACAAACATTTCCAGGATTTATTTGTTTTTTTTTATTTAAGCTCCCACCGTTCTCTATATATTCCTACATAGCTAAGGGTGAGGGTATTATTGTATACCAGAGGAAATTGAGGTTCAGAGATGTGAAGTGACTTCTCTACAGTCCTGTCCTTTGATCAGAGCTAAGGATACAACTTAAGTTTTCGACACCTCCCACATTTTCCCCATCATTCCTCTACCCCATCCCCACTGGGCTCTGGCCTCCACTTCAGTTGTTGAACCGGAGCTTCCTGCTGGTTTCGTGGCTTACAAGGAAGAAGGTTGCAAACACTTCTTGCTCTTCTCTGTGTGTGTGTGTGTACGTGTGTACGTGTACATGTGTACATGTGCAGGCCTGTGTGTCCCATGTGCATGGAAAGGAATGGGCTATCTTAGAAACTCCTGAGGTCTCCACTATCTCTGGTCAGGGTGCTGGCCCCTCGGTGCCTGGTCCTGCTGCCCCGCACACACCTGTGGCCAGGAGCCAGCCTCTTCATGAACCTCTCCTTTCACTTAGCACCAGTACCTCCTGGAGATGGGGTTTATTCTAGCATCAGAGCATAGATGGTGTCCTAGCCTGACCAGGATGGATGAGGGAGGGCAGGGCTCACAGACTCCTGAGGCATGTGTTAGTGATTGTGGGGAGAGGTGTGAGTGAGGGTACCTCCATGTCATCTGCAGACCGAAGGCGTGCGTGTGTCCGTGAACGTCCTGAACAAGCAGAAGGGGGCGCCTTTGCTGTTTGTGGTCCGCCAGAAGGAGGCTGTGGTGTCCTTCCAGGTGCCCCTAATCCTGCGAGGGCTGTGAGTAGGACCTGGAGATGGGGGAGGGGTTGTCCTGGGCCAGGCCTTGCTTGGAGCCTCACACAGGAGCTCCCTTGTTTCTTCTCCCCAGTGCCTGAGCCCAGAAGCTAGTCAGTAGCTGAAGGCCAAGTCAGCCAGCCTGGAGCTTGTCAGCCTAGGGCTCAGGAGGTGTGGGAACCTGATGGGAAGAACTGGGCCTTGCTTCTCTGGAGTGGCAGGCCAGCTGGCATGGTAATCACATTGTGACTCTCTGCTTTGGGCCACAGGTATCAGCGCAAATATCTCTACCAAAAGGTGGAACGAACACTATGTCAGCCCCCTACGAAGAATGAGTCTGAGGTCCAGTTCTTCTACGTGGATGTGTCCACCCTCTCACCAGTCAACACCACATATCAGCTCCGGGTCAGCCGAATGGATGACTTTGTGCTCAGGTCTGCAGGGTAGAGAGGGAACCATGGGGACCAGCTTCATTCCTAAGTCCTGGGTGTGACTACAGGGGATCTTCTCTGCCCTGCAGGACTGGGGAACAGTTTACCTTCAATACCACTGCAGCCCAACCCCAGGTAAAAATCCCTGTTGACCTCCTGTTGAAGGAGAAATGGAAGAGCTTAAACATGAGAGCAGGAGTGGTCAGTGGTGTTTCTGGGGCTTACAAGTGTTTACTTTCTCCACGGAGGGTTTCTCTGGAAGCCCTGCAGTGATGAGGGACAGATATTCAGCAACAGTACAGAGATACGGGACTGGTTCCCATCTTTCCTATTCTGCCTCCCAGACACTGCCTTTAGTGCCCAGCTGTGGTTGAAGCGGGGTGGAGAGCAAGTGTGCTTATGGTCAGGCCCCTCTCCCCAGAGAGCCTCCGCTGCCCAACCCAAGAGGATTCTGGGGCCTTGCTCTGGGGAGACTGTTCCTTCTAGGGGGGTAAAGAGAGCATGCTCATGAGGTAAGATTCTCTTTGCCCTTGCTGTGCCCTCAGTACTTCAAGTATGAGTTTCCTGAGGGAGTAGACTCTGTGATTGTCAAGGTGACGTCCAACAAGGCCTTTCCCTGCTCAGTCATCTCCATCCAGGATGTCCTGGTAAGTTGCCTGCCCTTTTGCTTTCCTCCTATGAGTAGCAAGGCCATTAAAGAGAGGGGATAGGGCCCAGGTTCCTGTCCATCTGTCTTTTCCCACCTTCCTCTATAGTGCCCTGTGTATGACCTGGACAACAATGTCGCCTTCATCGGCATGTACCAGACTATGACCAAGAAAGCAGCCATCACTGTGCAGGTAGGAAGTGCACATGGTCCTGTCGAGGATGCGGCTTGCAGAGAAGCTGCTGGCTTTCCAAATCCGTTCCTTGTTCTCTGCCCCATTCCTACTCGAAACAGGCTATCTAGTTCCTGTGACTTTGGGTCCCCTGCTATGTGTGAGTTGAACTATAATCCCAGTCACCCTTAGGAATAGAAAGAGCAGAGTTCTCTTTTTTGTTGTCTTTATTTCATTTTTATAAGGTGAGTGAGGAGAGGAAAGGGGCCCTAGGGTCCTGTTTAATACTAGGTGTTATCCTTGGCAAAGGCCACGACCTATTCTGGGGACAGGGAAGAGGAAGTCATGTTTTTACCTCACAGTATCAAACCCATGCATCTGACAAGTAACATGGCATCTCCACATTTTTTCTTGGCTGTTGCTCAGCCTGAAGTAGGATAACCCATGTGAGCCACATATAAATTTGCTCACCTGGCCATGGTATAGGTTTAGGGTTGAAGTTCTGCAACTAGAAAATCCTGGCTCTTCCATGTAATGGCAATATGACTCTTCGCTAACTTCTTTAAGTCAATACAACAAGGATAATAATAGTACTTTCTTCAAGGATCTTTTTGAGGATTAAGTAAAATAATATATTAAAGAGCTTAGCATAGCATCTAGCCCAAAGTAAGTATTCAGAAAAGCGCTGTGTCCATGATGGAATGATCCTCCTCCTCCTCCTCCTCTTCTACCTCATCATCTTACAGCGCAAAGACTTCCCCAGCAACAGCTTTTACGTGGTAGTAGTGGTGAAGACTGAAGACCAGGCCTGTGGGGGTTCCTTGCCTTTCTACCCCTTTGTAGAAGGTAAATTTTGTGCCCTGGTCCTGGCTTGGTATGGGGAGGTTTGGTGGCTTCCTGGGAGTTGGAAGTACCTGCATGGCTGTTGGTGGATCTGATGAGAGATGCCTTTTTTTTTTCCTTTTTGTGGTGCTGGGGATTGAACTCAGGACCTCATGCATGCTAAATGTGCACTCTACCACTGTGCTATTACTAGCCCTCCAGATCATGAGGTTTTGGCCCTGAACTCTCTGTGTCCTGCTCCTACCAATTCTAGCTAAGCTCCAAGTAACCATCTTTGGCACTTTGACATTTTTCTTCCAGATGAGCCAGTCGATCAAGGGCACCGCCAGAAAACCCTGTCAGTGCTGGTATCTCAAGCAGTCACATGTGAGTGTGCGGAGCTGAGTGGGATAGGGAGCTTCTCTGGTTATTCCTCTCAGACCTAGGAGAGAGGGTGCTCTCTGATTGGGAAGGGTGACAAGGACCTACTCAAGTAGGCTTACGGGTAGGGAACAGGTATCTTAGCAGACTTCAAGATGGAACGATCCTGGAGGGGGATCCAGTGTAACGTGGGACAGAGTCCATGGCAAAAGATGGAACAGCTGAGTTCTAGTGCACTCTCTGTCACTTATCAGCGGAGGAATCTCCTAGGTCCTCTGCAATAGAAATAATAAGATAGTCCTATTAAACTCAGTTGTTAGGCTTAGCAGAAAATTAGTAGCAAAGTGCTGGACCCTAGATAGTACTCAATAAATATTTACTGAGTGATTGAATGGGGCTTTTTTTTTTTTAAATTTTTTTTTAGTCATCCATGGACCTTATTTTATTTATTTATTTTTTATGTGGTGATGAGAATCGAACCCAGTGCCTCACACATGCTAAGCAAGCACGCTGCCACCGAGCCACAACCTAGTCCTCATAAATGGGGCTCTTTATAAACTTGAGAGTATAAGATAAAAATAAGGGATTTTGATGAGAGGAGAAAAGCTGCCCCTTGAGTGCCTCATTGACTCAGCAAATATTGATTGAGCCCGTCCTGGGTTCTGTCCCAGGGCTATAGTTCTCAAGGAGCTCCCGTGTAGACGACAGGAGGCTGTTGCTATACAGGGTGCCGAAAGTTGTGATGAGCAAAGGACAAGTCACTGTGGGAATGTAGGACTGAGAAGGCATCCTAAAAGGCACAGTCCCTGTGCTGTGGTTTGAATGTGGTCAAGATGGGGTTTTCAAGAAGTAGAAGAGAAAGTTCTAGCCCAAGAAGCAACATGAGCAAAGACAGGATCATGTCAGAGCTTAGTGCAGTTAGAGTACTGTCAGTTGTTCATACTGGCTGAGGCATTGCATTTGAGGGGTTATGTGGTGAGAGGTTGGGCTGGGCAGAGGAGCCAGATAATGATGGCCCTTGGGCATCATGATGGTAATGTTGAAAAGTTTGCGTTGTTCACCTTCCTGCTTCCTTCCCTGTAGCCGAGGCCTATGTTGGTGGGATGCTCTTCTGTCTGGGCATATTTCTCTCCTTTTACCTATTGACCGTCCTTCTGGCCTGTTGGGAGAACTGGAGGTAAGATGGAACTGCCGAGCCCTCCCCTGGTCGAGGGTGGGTGGGCAGGGAGTATGAGTGAGATAGCCTGGCGGGATCTGAGCTGGCTCAGGGTTATCTCCTAACTGTCCTCAGGGCAATGCAAGGCAGGTGCCTATTAGAAACTGTGGTCCATAGGCCACTTCTCTGGAAACTGACCAGGAAGGGGAACCTTAATCTCTTACCCAGATATAGAGACCCCACATAGCTCCTCAGCCCAGGAGGAACCCAGGATCAAGGTTGGGGTTTAGGGTTATAGGAATCAGAATGAGGTAGAGAGGGTAGAAGGGAGGTCAACTTAGCATGGAGGGATCTTCATCTTACCCAGTTTGGGTATCCTCTTGATTCTGTCACTGCAGGCAGAAGAAGAAGACTCTGTTGGTGGCCATAGACCGAGTCTGCCCAGAAAGTGGTATCTCTAAAGGGCCCGGGTGGGAGGGCAGGATTTGCTTAGTCCTGGGGAGGGAAAGTGGTGGATGGTTCTCTGTGTGGTTAGAGGAGGAAGGGTTGTGGGTTTCTGAATGTTTGGATTGGGAGTGACATTCCACAGATGGAAGCAGGGCTGGTGTCTTCTGCTGTCCATCCCTATGTGTACCCTGGAAGCTGTTGTGTGGTCTGTTCTCCATGTCTAGCTACGCTGTCTGTCATAGGCAGTGCTGCTTACAGTCTTTGAGATTATTAACTTTCCATTCTCTCCCTCCCCCCACCCCGCCCTCTCTTTCTATTCTTCCTCCTGCTTGGGACCTTCTCTCTCAGCTTCTCTCCTTGGTAAGCTCCAGGTGCTGTGGGTAGAGGAGCTACTGTCAAAGGGGAGGGAGGTGAAGCACAAGGGCTGTCTGGGGGAACTCGAGCAGCTGGATGTCATTTATCCTTGCTGCTGGTAGCTTAGTACATGGTTTCTTTGACTTCCTCTCTCTTTAGGGAGAGCACAGGGTGACGTGTTTCCATTGAACACATTGGAGTTCAGGGCATCTGGTAGTGGTGGTGGGTGGTAGTGAGGTATTTGCCTGGAGAGGTACTTATTCTTCACTGTTGACGTGGCCCCTTTATAACTGTCTTCTTTGGATTGTCCCTTCTTTCTTCCCCCTGGTCCTAGGCCTCTCTTTGCTTCCAGGGTAAGGGAATCTTGACTTCTCATTGCAGGGCACCCTCGGGTCCTGGCTGATTCCTTTCCTGGCAGCTCCTCCTATGAGGGTTACAACTATGGCTCCTTTGGTACGTGTCAAAACCAGAGACTGCTTGCCCACTGCTGAAGTGGCCATTGGCTTTTTTTTTTTTAATTGATTTATTATTATTATTATTGTTCAAAACATTACAAAGCTCTTGACATATCATATTTCATACATTTGATTCAAGTGGATTATGAACTCCCATTTTTACCCCTTATACAGATTGCAGAATCACATCGGTTACACATCCACGTTTTTACATACTGCCATATTAGTGTCTGTTGTATTCTGCTGCCTTTTCTATCCTCTACTATCCCCCCTCCCCTCCCCTCCCCTCCCATCTTCTCTCTCTACCCCATCTACTGTAATTCATTTGCCATTGGCTCTTTGATGCCTGTGCCCTCACAGCTACTCAGAGCCCCATCAGGATGGGTCCAGTGTCCCTTCCCCACATACCTCACCATTTACATTCCCTGCAGAAAATGGTTCCGGATCTACTGATGGTTTGGTTGACAGTGCCGGTACTGGGGACCCCTCTTATGGTTACCAGGGTAAGTGGGACAGGCAGGGGTGTGTGGTACAGGGCTGCTGTTGGCTGGGTGAAGCGTCATGGTGGGCGGTTGCCTCTTCTGCCAGATGCTGGAACCAGCAGTTGCCTGCTGGTCTGCCCCTGTCCTCCCTTATCCTTTCCTCCTTGGCCCCAGTTCCCTGGTAACTTTCCCTTTCCTTTGAAGGGCACGACCAGTTCAAGCGGCGCCTCCCCTCTGGCCAGATGCGGCAGCTGTGCATTGCCATGGGTAGATGTGGGGAGGGGGTGGGGCTGCCCTGCCAATCAGCTCCTGCCAGGGCAGTTGACTGGGGCCTGCTGGCTCCAGGGTCAGAAAGATGCTTGGTGCATGGCTTCCTCATCTAATGCCAGTAATGCTAGCCTGTGTGTCTTCTGAGAGAGACAGGCACTGGCCCCTGATGCCAGTGGGCTGGCACCTTGGCCACCACAGGTCAGATGTTATAGTTTGCTGTCTCATTTGCCAGCACCCTCTCCCCAGTCTGCTGGGGACAGGCTCCTGAACATGGGAGTCACGTTCTGGCCTGTGGGGCTTTGGTCAGGTGAGGTCATAGAAGGAAGCTTCTGTAGGCAAGAGACAGATGAGGTCAAGGAGAGGTGCTCTTCCTGGAGGCAGCCTCTTGCCCTTGCCTGCACCCCAGGCTCAGTGGGTCTTGAACTTAGTGAGGTTCCCAGCAGTGTCTTCTCAGAATCCACATGGCTGGGCACCTTCTAATCAGCATGACTGGCCAAGTTCAATCCTGTTGCTTGTGTTGGGGCCTGGGGTCTGCTCAGTGTCCTGCCTGGGAGCCCTACCTTAGGGAGGAGAGCCAGGAGGGGAGCAAATCTGGAGCTGACCCTGGTTGGTGGCCTCTTTGCAGAACTCCTGTCACTCCCCGCTGACTTAGGAGCACCTGATGTCTCCCAGCACCTGGGCCCACCTCTACCCCAGCTCTGAGCCTTAGTCCACAATTTGCCACTTCCCCAGAGCCTAGTAATTTTGACAATTGCCTCAGATGGGTGGGGGCAGACCTTGGGTTTTGTGCCCAACAGCTGACCCCTTTTTTCCTGCCCTTCTCAGACCGCCCCTTTGATCCAGTGGGCCCTCGACCACGACTGGACTCTATGAGTTCCGTGGAGGAGGATGACTATGACACACTGACCGACATCGATTCAGACAAGAATGTCATTCGCACCAAGGTCTGACACCATGTGCCTGGCCCTGGTCAGGGGTTTTCTGAGGAAGGGACCTTTAATTTGAGGCCCTAGCCATCTGGTTCGTCAGGGAAGCAGAGGGAGAGAGCTCAGGGGAAACTAACTTTCCCTCCGACCCCTTGACCCCAGCACAGACCCTCTTGGTCTAACTGGTTACAGCAGTGGGATAGCCTAGAACCCTGAGCTGGGCCTGTATGAGGGAGGCCCCTTCTCCCAGCTAGTGGTAAGTGGGGCTCACTCCTGATTCTCCTCAGCAATACCTCTATGTGGCTGACTTGGCACGGAAGGACAAGCGTGTTCTTCGAAAGAAGTACCAGATCTACTTCTGGTGAGCAGGACAAGCCGGTTCCTTGTGGGAGGTGGAGTGCTTCTCAGTCCTGCTCACCTCACTGCTCCTTGCTACTCCTCAGGAACATCGCCACCATTGCTGTCTTCTACGCCCTTCCTGTGGTGCAGCTGGTGATCACCTACCAGACGGTGAGAGGGCAGGGACTGGCTCAGTTGGCCACAATTCAGGACTCTGCCCTTACATTCAGAGCCTCCTAGCTGGGAGCTCTGCAGTGAGTGCAGGTCTTAGATTCCATTGCCAGGTTTCCAATCCTAGCTCTGCCTATGAGCTGAGAGGCTTTGGAAAAATCAGTTAACCTCCCTGAGCATCAGTTTCTTTGTCTGCAAAATGGGGCAACATAAATGTTGTGAGAATTTTGAAACAAACATCACAGGACTTTGTAAGAGTTGGTTTCTCTTCCCTTTTCTCTAGACTGTGAGACAGGAACTTCTGTCATGATCATGCCTTGGGGTTTTCAGCCACAGCTATGGGGGTGGATAATGACTGCCACTTGGCATCCCTCTTTTCAAAAAGAGCACGTCCCCTGGGTACTACATGTACATGCTGTGTGTACACTTACTGTCTTGTCAGTCTGGCCCAGGTGGTGTGGCATGGGCCATGAGCTGAATCTGGCACATTAGCAGCCACATTTCCTGCCGCACTCCTGCTGCAGGTGGTGAATGTCACTGGGAATCAGGACATCTGCTACTACAACTTCCTGTGTGCCCACCCACTGGGAAACCTCAGGTGGGGATTGTGCTGGGAGTTCCCCTCTCCAGGGCAGTGGTGAACTGGGGAAGGGGCAGGGGCTTTGTGAAGTGCCTGCCTGGGCTGGGGAAGAGGCCTGAGTGTGAGGCCTAGGCAATGTGCCTTGTGTTGTTCCTTCTAGCGCCTTCAACAACATCCTTAGCAACCTGGGGTACATCCTGCTGGGGCTGCTCTTCCTGCTCATCATCCTGCAGCGGGAGATCAACCACAACAGGGCCCTGCTGCGCAATGACCTTTATGCCCTGGTGAGTGAGCTGCTGCCTGCTGAGACCAGCTCAGGCACACATTCTGAGCTTTGGCTCTAATGCATCCTTTCTGGCAGGCATGGCCTTGCCCAGCCCAGCTCTGCTGTGCCCAGACCTGCCCTGCTTGGCCCTGTACTGCCCCATCTTGCTCCACCCTCTCCTCCCTTGTCCAGTCTAGCCCTGCCCTGCCCTCTCTGCCCAGCCTGGCACGTACACCCACTCAATATACATCCCACTCTGCTCCTCTCGGGGTTCTCTCTTAGGAGTCCCTTCTTCCCTTCCCATTTCACCTTCTCTTCCTCCCCTGTAGGAATGTGGGATCCCCAAACACTTTGGTCTGTTCTATGCCATGGGCACTGCGCTGATGATGGAGGGGCTGCTGAGTGCTTGCTATCACGTCTGCCCCAACTACACCAATTTCCAGTTTGGTGAGTGGCGTCTCCCTCTTCTCTGGGTAAACCTAGAGCAGGGATCTGCCCAAGCCCTCACCCACGGGATCCCCACAACAGCTGTGTAAAACCTCCCAAGCCTGGGGTGAGGACATATGAATGCACATGTCTGAAGTATAGAAAACAGGCAGCCGTCGATCTCTTCCTGCATGGAGGCATGTGTCATCACTGAGAACAGAGGGCATCAGGAAGTGGCCCCTGATGTCAGGGTGCTCACAGGCTAAGTCATTCAGACTAAGTTGACCTTGTCATCAGGTCAGACTCTTGGTGACCATCATTGTGGTGGCAGGGACATTAGGGACTACTGGAGCTTAGGTTAAGTACCAACTCACCCTGTGGCCATAAGGAGGCATTGGGCTCTCTCCTCTTCTCTAATTGTCGGGCCTGGGAGTTCTCTGCTGAGGCCTGGTAGATGTTTCTTTTTTTTTCAACCAAGAGATTTTATTGGGGGCTGCCCGAAGGGGAAGAAAAGGAGAGAGCAGAGAGAGGAAAGGAGGAGGGCAGAGAGGAAGAGAGCAGAGAGAAAGAGAGCAGAGGAGAGAAAGAAGAGGAAGAGGGCAGAGCCTGGTGGTACTTCTGTAGTTCACTCCTGTGTCCCCCAACCCAGATACGTCATTCATGTACATGATTGCTGGGCTCTGCATGCTGAAGCTCTATCAGAAGCGGCACCCAGACATCAACGCCAGCGCCTACAGCGCCTACGCCTGCTTGGCCATTGTCATCTTCTTCTCTGTGTTGGGCGTGGTGAGGGCCATTCACACACGTGGGTGTGCACATCCCCCTCCACCTCCTGAAGAAGAAATCTTGTTCCTTCCCTAAGGGAAATCCTAGCCTGGCTATGCAGCCAGCCCTAGCAAGGACAGGCATGGGAGTGGGTGCCAACAGCACCCCTCAGCTATGCCTCCTGTGGCCTCCTGACAGGTCTTTGGCAAAGGGAACACGGTGTTCTGGATTGTCTTTTCTGTCATTCACATCATCGCCACCCTGCTCCTCAGCACACAGCTCTATTACATGGGCCGCTGGAAGCTGGGTGAGGGCATGCTCAGGGCAAGATGTATGAGGGGGAGGCTGGGAAGCCCCCTGGAATGAGGGGTCAGTGGCCTCAGGGACTTGGACCTGCAGAGACCCTCTGGTTATGTCCTTTCACTGGAGATCAAGCTTGTCCCCCTGCTTTGCACCTTGGCCCCTGTGGAGGTACCACTGGGTGAGGAATTAGAAAAGGCCTTGGCATTCCTGGGTTCTCTGGGCCCTGGCTCCTCTCAGCTGGCATAGGCCAGGGATCCAGCAAAGAAGGGTGCCCATGCCGTTCAGCTCCGTGCCCTCCTCCTTGCAGACTCGGGGATCTTCCGCCGCATCCTCCACGTGCTCTACACGGACTGCATCCGGCAGTGCAGCGGGCCCCTCTATGTGGTACCTGCCCAGCTCCCCAGCCCCTTTCTCCTCCGTATAGTCAGTTCCCTCCACGGGGATAGGGAGGTGTAGTGGGAAATCCAGGGTAGGGGTGGGGACCAGCTGACTTGGGCCTTCTGCCACTTCTCTCCCTATTTCTCTTCCCCCTCTCAGTCCCCGTGTCTCTGCTTCCCCCCAGGACCGCATGGTGCTGCTGGTCATGGGCAACATTATCAACTGGTCGCTGTGAGTGTGGCCATTGGCTGTGGTAGCCTGGCTGGGCAGACAGCTGGGGATGTGGCCAGCCACTGGCTGCCTCAGGGGCTGTGGACAACTTATAAACCTTGGGCACCAGAAATTGGGGCTGAGGAGAGAGGTGTTGGTCCCTGGGTTTCAGAATCTTCTGTGAGCTTCTGAACCAAGTCCAACATCATGGTCAAGCATGGTGGGGTGGAGGCAAAGGAGAGCCTTCTGCTCTCGGCCCTCCCCTCTTCACTTGCCTCTCACCCACTTCCCAGGGCTGCCTATGGGCTCATCATGCGCCCCAATGATTTTGCCTCCTATTTATTGGCCATCGGTATCTGCAACCTGCTGCTTTACTTTGCCTTCTACATTATTATGAAGGTGAGCGGGGAAGGACTGAGCCTCCTCTGTCAGCTGCTCTGCTTCTGGCCTGCCAGGCCCGCATTGAGGTGGAGTGAGAATTTTTCTGCTCGTCTGTCTGTGCCAGTGGGGTTTGAACAGCAGGAGGCTACACCCTCTTGTGTTTGACCCCTGGGAGCCACTGCTGGGCAAGATCCCTGCTACCAAGCTGCAACCCAGCCCAGGGCCATTTGGTTGCTGAAGAGGTTGAGGAGGTGTAGCTCATTTTGTCAGTGATGGGCTTGAGCCTCTAAGGACCGGGGGCTTCCCAAGGGACCCCCCAGGCCATGCAGTGGGAGAGGAGAGCCCCCTGGCCAGGACCCTTTGTTGGCACAGGGTTCTGGGTACATGGAAGCCCAGAGAGGGTGAATATCAGGGAGAGGACCAGGCTGCTTGCATGGGGACTGAATGAGCTTGTAGTCATGAGGTGCTGTGAATCCAGGAAGGCTTCCTAAGGAGTGAGTCCTGGGAGTCTGAGAGGCCTAGGAGAGGAGATCCAGGGAAGGCCAGGATGTGGCCTGGGGGAGTCCTGGCTCTCAGCCCATTTCTCCCCCGACCCCCACCCAGCTCCGGAGCGGAGAGAGGATCAAGCTCATCCCCCTGCTCTGCATCGTCTGTACCTCTGTGGTCTGGGGCTTTGCACTCTTCTTCTTCTTCCAGGGACTCAGCACCTGGCAGGTAAGGAGTCACTCTCAGGCTCACCGTGAGCTGACACAGCTTGATGGGGCTGTGGGCCAGCACTTCCATAGTTGCTTTCTCATTACTTCTCCTGATATTCAACATTCTAGCACCAAGATAGCCCCATTTTACTTATGAGGCAGCTGAATCTCAGAGAGGCCAAGTGACCTCCCCATTGGCACAAAGCCAGTGAGTGGCAGCTGGGGTTTCAAGCTAGAGCTGTGAGACTCTCTCCCCAACCTCAAAGGGCACTGCTGTGTGTAGGGCTTTGAATCTGTAGTCAGAACTAAGTCTGACATGATATCTATCTATGAGGCACTTATATCTAGTTCAAGAGAGTCACTGATCTCTTGCGTTTTTGTTTTTCAGTTTTATTTATTATTTTGGTGTTAGGAATGAACCCCAGGCTCTTGCACATGCTAAGCAGATACTCTTATCACTGAGCTATATCCCAGCCCCTAGTTTATATCTTGCTGTTTACAACATATTTAAAATGAAGAGCAAGGGTAAGCTAGGATATGGGTATTCAGGACAGAGGATGGAGAGGTCTCTGTGAGGTAGGAGGTCCAGGAAAACTTTCCAAAGGAAGCAGGCTTTGCTCTTGGCCATAAAGGCTCTGGGTGATGGGGAAGAGCCCTGTGGCCCAGAAATGCTTGACCTGAATAATGATACAGAGGTAGAAATGAATAAGGTAGATTTGGAGGTCAATGAATGTACCAGTTTGGGAACCAAGCAAGGACTGCAAGATCCTCGAGGGCAGGGTGGGTTGTGGTCCTGCCTGAGCCCTCAACTTAGCAGATAGCCCTGGATACAGGGTGGGTGATCGGTAAATGTTTGGGGGGTAGAGGTTGTAGATGTCTGGGGGGTGAGGTTGTAGATAGAGTAGGGAGGACCTTGGGAATCTCAGGTCGTGGCCACTGTTGTCTGGAGCAAGGTTACGACCTGACAGTAGTGCTGGAGAAAACAGTAAGCCTGAAGGACAGATGAGAGCAGGGGTTAAGTCCAAGGCAGGGTGCTGAGTTAGGAGTCAGCTGAGTCTTTGGGAATCTCTTGAGTTGATGGCATCTTCAGTTAATCATGTCTCCCTGCTTTTAGATAAAGGAAAAGAATCTGAAGGGGGGAGGATGAGACTAAAATAAAATGAAAGAATAGAAGGCAGCAATCTTGGGCAGAAATTTGTAACAAAAGTCCATTTCTTAGATGTGGGGGATGAGGACCAGAGACAAGTCAGAACAAGGCACTTTCCTGACCAGCTGGGAAGTGGGGGTGTCCTCGAGTGATACTGGAGGTGGGCCCAGCCCTAGCCTTGCCAGGGCAGGGCAGGGTCAGGAGGCAGCTCTCCCTGTGCTTCCCCCAGAAAACCCCTGCAGAGTCAAGGGAGCACAACCGGGACTGCATCCTCCTCGACTTCTTTGATGACCATGACATCTGGCACTTCTTATCCTCCATTGCCATGTTTGGGTCCTTCCTGGTAGGCACTGAGCCCAGGTGGGAGGGTGGGTAGGGGCAGAGGTTGCCTCTTTCTCTGTGCCTGATGCAGTGGCCATCTCCCAGGTGTTGCTGACACTGGATGACGACCTGGATACTGTGCAGCGGGACAAGATCTATGTCTTCTAGCAGGAGCCAGACCCTTCGCTTCACCTCATGGGGCTCTGAGCTCCTCTGTCACCTGCCAGGTGCTTCTGTAGCTCTGGAGGTGTGAGTCCCAGGCCTGCTGCCCAGCACTGGGTGGCAGCGGGACGGCAAGGTCTAGTCCAGACCTAACTTGGGACAGTCACAGGGTGGCATGGGCCTCACAGCTACCCTCTGCAAGGGAGGAGGCCTGCTTCCTGATACCCCAGACATTGGCCAAACTGCTGCTTTCTTCTCAGTGTTGGGGCTTTCTGTGGTCCCATCCCTTGGCTCTTTGTCCCTCTTCAGGAGGAAGGAGAGAAGGCAATGCCCTCCCCATTTCATGCCTTCCATTCTGCCCATCCTTCTCCTCCCCCTCAGCCTGGGACCCAAAGCCCTTTCTTCCTCCCATGCTCCTGCTCCAGGGCCCTGGACTGGGGCCTGATTCTCTGCCCTGTCCCAGGATCACAGTTCTCTGGGACTGTTCCTGGCTGCCATCACTGCCCAGGATGGATATGGCTGTGGGATTTCAGGGGTTGGCTGGTTGGTGCCAGGCTTTTGGTGCTAAGGCCTGCAAGGGGCCCAGGGCAGGACCCTCCTCCCTCGACCTGCACTCGGGCTGACTCTTTAGCAATGAGAGTCAGCTCAATTTGAGAGCTGCCTCTTGTCTGAAGGGCTGGATTCAGATGTTACCCTCTCATCCCATGAGTGCTCAGACTGATGCCAGCACCAGGATTGGAAGGAAAAGTAACTCACCCGTCCGTCCCTTTCTGTATTTCTATGCCCTCGGTCCTGCCAAGCCCCAGCTGGGGCCTTTCAGTGCCATTGACACTGCCCAAGAATGTCCAGGGGCAATGAAGGGATGGTGCAGAGCCCAACCTTCACCATGGCCACAAGAGTCCCAGTGCCTAATTTAGAAAGAAAGGGACATGCCATTGTCCTTTATGTCCCCAGGCTCAGCCTCACGCTAGGACCCAGTTTCCGTTTCCCAGTTTTTTGGCTTCTGAGTTTCCGTCCAGGCTCCAGCCAATTTCTTTTTTGGTTACACACACACACACACACACACACACACACACACACACCTTGGAGTTTACATGGAGATGCCCCCAGCTCTGGGCCTCCTGGCCACTCCAGTCCTTGGCTTCCCTTCACCTCACCTGGTCCATTCCAGATGCCAAGGACAGGGGCCATCAGGTCAGACCTCTGCCTCGGGGGTGGGAATGTGCATTATTCTCCCCAAGTTGTTTTTATAGCTCTGCTTGGGCTGGGGAGAGGAGATGGGTCTGGGTCTTTTGTTTCAGAGCCCTGGTTTGTCTTTCCATGCTACGGTTGTGTTTGTGTTTTCTATGAATGAGTGCATTCAATAAAGAGACAACCAGATGCAGTTCCTGGGCCCTTGTTTGCTCTTATGTCCTGGGTGGAGATGTTGACACTGGTTGTGGTGAGGGGCAGTGTTCTCCAGGTCCCATTTCTCTTGAGACCTTCTCTTTTCCATGCCATGGTTGCATTAGGTTTCTTGATTCCCCCGTGTTTTTCTCTGCCTTGAACAACATCATTAAGTCAATAAATATTTGCTGGGGGCCTATTTTGTACCAGGCACTGTGCTGGGCACAGATTAGATATTGGAAAATCCTTTGCCATGCAGTCTACCCTCAAAGATCCCCCCTTACCTGGCAAATAGCAACTGCCTCTACCTACCTGGCCTCCACCCACCCTGCTGAGACCAGCTTCATTTCTGCCTGAGCATTTCCCAGCTCTGCAGGCTGCAGGCCCAGGCAGTGCTCCCGGATGTGGCTTTAGTTGGCAGTGTGTGCAGGCCATGGCAAGGTGGTGGTCAGGGATGGCAAGATGGTAATGGATGGTGGGCAAGCCCCAAGAGAAGGGGATTTTGAGATATTCTTGGAAGGTTTGTTTAGATTTCAGCAGGCCGAGGACAAGACTTGGGGGCCAAGGAGTTGTGAGTTCAGGACACTAGGTGAGTTCAGAGGTCTAGGATGTCTGAGAATGGAGGGGTGGGCTTTTCTCTTGCTGATCTTTAGCTTCTCTCCTCTTTTCCCTTCAGGCGCCACTGAGAGGCACTGTTGCTCTATATATCACTAGGCTCTGGCGCTGGCAATACTAGCTGTGGTGGGCGGAGCTTCTGAGCCAGGCTCTGTGCCTCCCTGCCAGGCCTGTCTGTTCCTCCTGCAGCCTTGCTTGGCTTGGGGTGTTGTACAGTGGAGAGCGTTACATCCTCCTTACCAAGTCTTAGGATGGTGGGTGCCACAGCAGTAGCCCAAAAACCCCACTGGAAGTCTCCCACTTTTTTAACCTATCCCTTCTCAAGGCTCCTGTAGCAAGCCACAAGCAAGGTGTCAGTGGATCTTCCTCTTGGGGTGATGTAGTCTAGTCTGTTTTCCAGAGTAGGTAGGGCAGTCCCTGAGTTCAATCCCCAATTCTAAAGGGAGGGAGGGATGACCCAACTTCCTGAACCTTCTACCCTAGTGTTAGTGTCTCCAGTCCTGCTGTGCTTTGGAGAACTTTTTATCACTGCCCTCTGGATGCGGCCACTGTTCACTACAGTACTGCTGAGTCCTCAAATCCTACTCCCTCCTAAAGTATGTAACTAAAGATGAACCCCAACTGAAAGCTGTCCCCAGGATGGTACAACTGAGAAGAGTGGGTATGGCAGATGTGATAGTACCAGTCTGCAATTCCAACTATTTGGAAGATGAAATAGGAGGATGGCAAATTGTAGGCCAGCCCCAGCAACTTGGAATGTCTTGAAATTAAAAGGGCTGGGAATGTAGCTCAGTGGTGGAGCATACCCGAGTTCAATCCCCAGATTGCAAAAAAATTTAAAAAGTGGGTGTGACAACTTCCCTAGTGCCCATCAGAGGTGGACAGGGTGCCTGTTTCTGCCACTCACCACTCATCATGTGGCCTCAGTCATCATAAAATGGGGATAGTAATACAGTCTCACCATGTGGCTGTGTTAAGTGACAGTATTTGCAAAGTGCCTGGCATGGAGTAGGTCCTTAGTAAAGCATAGTTCTCACCTCTGACTAGAGTTAGAAGCCCCAGGAGGAGAGAAGGTGACTGTTTTACCCCTACAAGTCCCAGGGATCCCCAGCTCCCTGGTCCCTTTCCTCTCTGGCAGACTCTCTTGAGTTCCTCCTCCCAAATTCGGGGGCAGGGAGAAGTGAAGCAGGAGCAGCCCTAAATCCGGAGGCAGGGAAGGCCTTTGTGGTCCTGCCCATAAAAGGCTTTTCCCGGCCGACTCCTGCCGGCAGCATGCCCCGCCCTGGCCCGCTCCATCTCCAAAGCACGCAGAGAATGTCTCGGGCAGCCCCCGACAGACTGCTCCAACTTGGTGTCTTTCCCCAAATATGGAGCCTGTGTGGAGTCACTGGGGGGCGGGGGGGGGGGGGACCAGAGTCGGTTTCCTCGGCAGGGAGGGGGCTGAGGGCGAGCTGGCGGGGAGGCTGACGTCACCACAGTGGCAGCCCTTTAAACCCCTCACCCAGCCCCTGCCCCATCCTGTCTGCCAAGCCCGGACTCGAGGCCATACTCCCTGCTGCCAACTCTGAGGAAGCCCTGTGAGTGAGTACACTCTCCAGGCCTGGGAGGGAACTGGGGCTGGAGCTCCACGCAGTGGTGTATTTCAGGCAGGACTCTCCAGAGGTCTCCAGGGTGGTGGGCTTGCTGGCTGGGAAAGACCACAACCCTCTCAGTTTGTATTCCCAGGCTCCAGACCTGAGCTGTCCATTTGATGCATAGGATGGATCCCTGGAGTCCTGAATTTGAGACTGGGTAGCCCCAGTCTTCCTGAAATGCTCAGATGATTTGGCTGGTGCAAAGGGCTGCGTGGTGGAAACAATTGGCATAAGAGGGAGGCTCCGCATTTCTGTGACACTCACACTACAGGGTGTGTGTGCAAACTCAAGGCATTGCCTGATTAGGCCAAGGCTGTGTGTCCCCTCTAGGAGAAGTCGAAAGAGGTGAGGGCCACGTGAGGTACTAGTTCTGGAGAGCAGTGGCCCCTTGGAATGGTCCCAGGGTTTGAGCAGCATAGGGGAACCCCAGAGTGAGCTCCTAAGGCAGTGTGAAGGACCACAGAACTCTTTTTCTTTCTTTCTTTTCCTTCCTTCTTTCCATGGGGCTAGGGATCAAGCCAGGGCTTCTTGCATGCTAAGCATCCCTCTACCACTGAGCTATACCCCCAGCCACACAGAACTCTTGCATTTCAGAACAGGCTGGGGTGGCAGGATGAAAGGAAAAGCTGGAGAATTTCTCTTACTGGGAGCAGCTTCTTCCACAGGCTGAAAGAGTCCCCCCCCCCCCCCCCATTACAGGCAGGTGGGTGGCAGGTTCAGGAGCTTTGAAGAAATAGCTGGTCAGGTTGGGGATCCTTAGCCCTTCCCACTGTGTCTCAGTGGTTCGCCTTCAAAGGGTAGCTGTGAGGTGGGCCATGTTTATGTAGTAGGGGTAATTTTGGTCCCTGGAGTTTAGATGAGCCACCCCTAGTACTTTAAGGGATCTGGATGTACTCACTCTTGTTCGCTGTGTTTTCTGGTGATGAGAGCAGGGGTCCCACAGTCCTGGAGAGACCCCTTGGTCAGCTTGTTCTTCTAGGCTCTGGCTAGAAGAAGGTGCTTCCTGCCCTTTTTCCCACTGCCCACCCTCAAAAAAGGGCTTACCTCGGGGACAGGAGGCCTGACAAGGAGCCACAGGGCAAGAGCATCAAGGCTGAGCACCAGTCCTCCTGACCCCAGAGCTTTGTCTAGAAATGCCACTGGTTGGGCTGCCCTGCCTCTTTCTTTCCTTCTCCTCTTCCCAATGGCTTGAAGGTGGGACTGGGGTGGCTTCCATCAGAGGACTCTAAAGGATGTCCTGGGACTCTCCACTTTCAGTATCTCCACCAGGAGGGAGGCAGGGAAGAAGAGAGGTGCTGGGTGGAGGTGACGCGAAGAGCATTTCATTGCCCTTCCTTGCTCTGACCAAAATCCAAATATGTCTCTAGATCGAGGGGCTGCAAAGTTGTGTTCTTGTCACCATGAGCCTTGACTCCTTGACTTGTATTTTCTCTCCAAACCTCTTGGGACAGAAAGCTGCCAGTGGGGTGATACACTCTCCTTTCATGCTGTTCCTCCCTTGCCCAGCATGCGGTGTGGGTGTGGGAAGGAAGATGTGAGGGTGGGAGGGGGCAGGGGATAGAAGATGATGAACATCTTGGCCTGGACACCTATCTGGGATGGTGGGACAAAGGTCCAGACGGAGGCTGGGTGGAGGCCAGAAGGAAGGATTGGCGGAAATCAGTTGGCTGGTCCAAATGAATTGTGACTTTTGGCTACAGTCCTTTGTGCAGGAGCCCGTGGGTGGGCCAGACAGTGGGTTGGGGACGGAGGGTCTTGGCTATGTGCAGCTGACCAGGGGAACACTGCCTCAGGATTCCCCTGCATCATCAGTTGGAAAAGGGGTGGTGGGCTAAGAATTCCACTGCCCCCCAGTGCTCAGAGCACCATGTCCTTGCAATGACTCACCTCTACCGTACAAATGAGGACACGGACTCAGAGAGAAGGCTGGCATTGAGAGGAGGTTCTTGCGGGGGTTTTTGTTTGTTTTTTCTCTCTCAAACTTTGTCACGGGATCAGGGAATGATTTTGAGAAGAGGGTGGGTGTTGGAGGGGGTGATGATCATTCACTGTGTTTGTCTTCCTGGCCAAGGCTGGCCCTCTCAAGGTCACCTGCAGGAGACCACTAGGCCTAGGCAGTTGGGAAATAGTTCACAGATGCTATGTCATTTTCACCACCCTCTGCATGGATCCTGTCATCCTGTTTCACAACTGGGGAACATCAGCTCAGCAAGGCTGTCCGCCACGGGGAAAGGAAGGGCAAGACAATGGAGTTGGCCGGGACCAGAGTGATGTGATGACGAAGCTCACTCTGCTTCCCATGGGATGGGGGATGGAGAAAGGGTCCCAGGCCTCACATGTGGGAGGTGAGGGTGAGGAGGTGCTGACTGCCTCCATCCTCACATCATTCTCTCCCTCCCAACCTCTGACTTTTCAGAGGCCATGGGATGGGTCTGGCCTCCTTTGCTACCTCTTTTGGAAGGCTCTTCAGATAAATCCATACCAGGGTGACACCTGTGGTCAGGTCCCATTTCTCTTGACCAGCCACACCCATGTCTGCCCAGAAACCCATGCCCCTGCTCCTGTAGCCTTCCCTCCTCTCGAGTGCCAAGCCCAGGCCCTGAAGCAGCAGCTGTGGCCTGGGGCGGGGCTTCCCATGCTCTGGCTGGCAGATTCTTGGCTCTGGAATATCCCTGGGGGGCCCTGACTTCTTGGTTCCCTAAGCTACTGCAGTGTCAGGAGCCTGAGGGGTGGGGAAAAGTGAATGGGTACGTCAGCTCCCTGGAGGAAATGCAGCTGCTCTGCCAAAGACTCTTGGGTTTTGGTGGCTTTGCCAGTCTCAGCCTCTTCCGCTGTAAGGCCAGAGACTGAGTGGACCTGGCAAGGAGCTGAAGTTTTGCACTTCCAACTTCTGTGCCAATAAGGGTTGGAGGTAACTTGTTCCTTGAGGCAGAAGCAGTAAACTACTTCACATCTACCTGGACAATGACAACTTCTGGCTTGATTTTGGGGGGTGATATGACCTCTGGAAGGCCCTTCCAGTGCCTCTAGCCAGTCTTGACAAAGACTCTAGACCAGGGCACAGGTTCTAGCCTATTGTCTGCTTTTGTAAATAAAGTTTTATTGACACATAGCCATGCTCATTTGTTTATGTATCGTCTATGACTATTTTCATGCCACAACAGCAGAGAAGATATGGCCCATAAAGCCTAAAATATTTACTGCCTGATTCATTACACAAAAAGTCTATAGATCCCTGCTTAGAACTCCGAACCTCTTATGTCCTGGGGTTCAAGTTCAGAAAGGCCTCTACACTAAGGGGATGGGTCTGGCCTATATGTGCTGCAGTAAATGTCTTTATGCAGAGCTAGAAGATCTGCCTGGCACAAACGAAAACAGCAGTTTCCTAATTCTGTGACCCTTTCCCTTCTCTGCCCTGCTGTGATTTAGCTCTCTTGCAACATGGCCAACAAGGGTCCTTCCTATGGCATGAGCCGTGAAGTACAATCCAAAATTGAGAAGAAGTATGACGAGGAACTGGAGGAACGACTGGTGGAGTGGATCATAGTGCAGTGTGGCCCTGATGTGGGTCGTCCAGATCGTGGCCGCCTGGGTTTCCAGGTCTGGCTGAAGAATGGTGTGGTGAGTGGCACCCTGGGAAGGGGAAGGGGGCTGGGGTTGTGCCATCCTGAGGTGCAGGGTCAGGACCTCTAAGATGAGTGCCACACTGTGTCCTATGCCTGGCAGATTCTGAGCAAGTTGGTGAACAGCCTGTATCCTGATGGCTCCAAGCCAGTTAAGGTTCCAGAGAACCCACCCTCCATGGTCTTCAAGCAGATGGAGCAGGTGGCTCAGTTCCTGAAGGCAGCTGAAGACTATGGGGTCACCAAGACTGACATGTTCCAGACTGTTGATCTCTTTGAAGGTACAAAGGGAAAAGGGGCTGGAACCAGTCGGGAGGGAGGCAGGCAGGCAGGTGACCAGGATTCTGAGGCAGGGAGAAGGAATGATCAAATATGCCTCATCCAGGGTCTAGTAATCTGTACCTAGCAGTAACAGGAATTGCCAAGAGAATGCTACACTGTACCAACAAGGACTTACTGGAGCCTCCTTTGGCATTGTCCCTGGCATTCTGAGAGACAGGGGCTATCTCTGGTGAAGTCCTGTCTATATCGTCCTGAAAATGTCTCCTGGCTGCTCTTTCTTCTTATAGGCAAAGACCTGGCAGCAGTGCAGAGAACTCTGATGGCTCTGGGCAGCCTGGCAGTGACGAAGAATGATGGGCACTACCGTGGAGATCCCAACTGGTTTATGAAGTATGTGGCCACCAGGGATCTCAGCCTGATTTCTTCATGGGATGGGGGTGGCTTGGGCTATTCAGCTTGTGGGAATGATCAGAGGAAGCAGAGCTCCAGGAAGGTACCAAGTGAGGGTCTAGGACGGGGGCAATTATCGTTTATGCTTCTTGACTCCTTCCTTTCTTCTCTCCTGTGCTCAAGAAGGTTCCTCAGCCTCTGGGGTCAGCTAGATGAGGGGGAAAAGAGTGAAATCGGAAAGGAATGGAATCTGATGAGGAAGCAACTGAGGGACTAGAAAACAGGTGGAAGATACCAAGTTCTGGCGAGTCTTTATCCTGGTTCCTCTTCTTCTAGGAAAGCCCAGGAGCATAAGAGGGAATTCACAGAGAGCCAGCTGCAGGAGGGAAAGCATGTGATTGGCCTTCAGATGGGCAGCAACAGAGGGGCCTCCCAGGCCGGCATGACGGGCTACGGAAGACCTCGGCAGATCATCAGTTAGAAGGGGAGGGCCAGCCCGGAGCCCTGCTTGCCCGCCCGCTGGCTGCTGCCTTCCTGCTTAGCCTGCCTCACTTGCAGCTGTGTGCGTTCTTAGCGCTGTCCAGGTGTAAGGCTGTCACTGGGCAGAGGAGACTGCACAGTGGCAGCTCTTCACACCCCCCAGCCTCAGCCCTACTTCTTACCTCAAAGCACCACTGCCCTGGCCCCTTCTCCCAGCTGTACCCCCGCCTCTACTGTCTCCCTGTCCTAGGCTGAGCAGGGGGACACGGGCTGGGATAGTGTGGGTATGGGGCAAGCCCATTCTCCTCCTTGGCAGCAAGAGCCCATTGATGGAGACCCAGCCGGCTTTCCCCCATCTTTTTCTGGAATTTTCCTTTTGGGGTTAAAATTCAAAAAGGAAAAAATATATATACGTCCATCTTTTCTCAGGCCTGTCTGGCAGAGTTTGATTTGCCCTAGTCATTCCTGTTATGGTTCCAGGAAACCCAAGCAGAAAGCAGGTGGCATCTGGGGTTCGGGTGTGTTCCTGGCTGCTGTCCTTTGGAGGACTCTTCATGCAGGCCATGGACAGGAGAGTGAATCTTGAGGACTAGAGGGGAAGAGGAGCCACCTGGCTCCTGGCATTAGCTCTGGGCAGGCAGAATAAATGGGGAGTGGAAGAATTGTTTGGAAGCTTTTTATTTTGGAAAAGCTGTGCAGAAAAAAAATCAACAAAATGTTGCTGTGAAAAATCAAATCTTAAGCATTAAAAAAATTCAAATCAACGAATCAGCTCAGAAGGGAGGAGGCCAAGAGAGGGAGCAAAAGTAACAGCCTGTCAGGCGGACAGAGGCCTCCCGGGGGAAGGCCATTTCCCTGAGCACTTTGCAGAGGAAGACAGGGTGGTCATAGGGTTAGTTAAGTGGCAGTGGCTCCCCAGGCTGTCTCCTAAAACACTTGTCTCACACCTGTCCACAATCCTGCCACAGACTTCCTGATGAAGTGGCATGGGCCCTGGGGAGCAGTGCCCCTTCTCAGCTGTACCAGGAGCACCATACTGATCCTTCAGAAGGAGGAAGGGTGGGGGGTGACGACAGAGGGAGTCAGGGGCACGTTCAAAGTTGGCTTCAGACCAGGAGTGCAGGGAGGGACAATGGAGGCAGCTGCTTGTGGGCAGGCATGTAGGGGGTTTTACCCAGCCTCCCACAAGCCCTCTTCCCAAGTAACCCAGTCATGTTCCTGGTGATGCAGGCACCTTCTCCACCCATGCATGAGCAGGGGTCCCTATGACTTAAATCACTGGCTTGCCTGAGAGAGAATGGGGATGGAGGGAGGCCTGCCCCATGCAGGCACCAATCCCTTGTCTAGGACCTTCTCACCAAAAGCTCCCAGTCTGAGGGAGAAGGATCCTGTGTTTCACCAGACTGTTCTCTTGCATCAGTCCTCTGCCACTTGTACTGAGGAAGGCCCTTACCCTCCCTGAGGGCAGCCCAAACATACTGTTTAGGCCTTGGGTTCCATATGTAAGCATCAGGACTGCTTTCTCTCCAGAGCTCCCCAAAGTTGGGAAGGAAGAACCTGTCCACATTGAGTCTATCAGGCCCCGAGGTCAACAAATCTGCTCCTCCTTTCCCTGCAACAGGTCTAAGGGTTGGTGCTGAGGATTCTTGTTCTGGGATATGCTCCAGTCCTCTTCATCGAGCAGGTCTGAGGTGAGGAGGCCAGAGGTGGTAGAAGGGCCCCCTCTCTCTGTCTCTGCTCCATCTAGATCCTTGCTGTTGCAAAGTGGCACTGATTCTAGCTCTGTCCCCTCTTCCTTGGATTTTCGGCTCTGTTGGGGCCAGTGGCAGGGTCCACTCCTACAGCCTGGAGTGGAAGCCACATTCCTCTGGCTCAGATATACTTCCAGCATGTAGTAAATGGTCCAGAAGATGGTGAAACAGCCCACCAGCACCAGGGTCTGGAGAAAAGTCAGGTACCTATGTTAGGGACTGCTTCTAGCCCAGAACCATGAGCTTGGGGAGTCTCCCCTTCTGGGCACGGCTTCTCTCACCTCTACCCCTCATGCCGCTCCCCCACACAAGGACTGCTCCCTAAGAGAAGGAGCAATGCTCTGAAACCACTGTTGGGACCCAGGTCTTACCCACTCTTGCCATAAGATCATCCTGAATAGCCCCAAGGACTAAACCCCCAGCACAGTCCTGTCTGCCCCTAATTGGAGTCTTGGCCCTAGTACCTTCAGGGTGTTGGGGGTAATGGTGTAACCATCTTCCTCAGGAATTGTCAGCCCAGGTGGGCAAGGTAGAGCAAAGCCATCATGTAGATATTTTCCACTCATGGCACTTTCTAACAGCCTGTGGAGAAGAAAAGGGATTAGGACGCCCTACTGAACATGGTTCCTATGCCATCTGCCCTCACCCAGCCTCCCACCTTACACCTGAAGAGAGGGAGAAAAGGCCTACAGGAAACAGGGCAAGAGCACACTGGGGCTTCCTAGCCCATGGCTCTGTCTACACATATGAGCCTGGAGTTGGGAAGCACAGCTGGGGTTCAGAAGGAGAAGGGGCTCCCCGTGTGGCCTCTTCCTTATCCCTTCACGAGTTGCCTTCCCTCTGACACATGCAGCTACACCTACCTTTGTCTGTCCCTGATGTCTACTGGACTCCACACAGAGCCATACAGGGTCAGCTGCCAGTGCTGGAGGATGCCAACCTGGAGCGGCTCATCTCCTGGGGTGGCAAGTGGGTAGTCCATGAGCAATGCCCCTCCGTAGGCCATACCAGCCCTCCCGCCACCCAAGGGGACTCAGACCATGTGGCCTGCTGTAAAGGTTGTCTAACTATGTCCCACAGACCCCGGGGTTCTGCACAAGTGCCTCACAGGGTGCCCTAGGGATGGAAAGGGAAGGTGGAAAGGATATACTCCGAGCAGAGTTGAGCCTTTGTCTTCCATATTTTGCAGTTTCAGATTTTTTTTTTGGAAAGAAAAAATGCTTTTCTACCAAATTAAAGAAGGTTTGAAAACCACTGATCTGGTGAATACCTAACTTGACTGGAAGTTGGGAGGGCTGGGCTCAGTTTCCAGTCTCCTCACTGATACTGTAGATATTTAGCATTCACTGATACTCTGACCTTCACTACTATTTTGACTTTATAAAAGTCACTTCAAACCTCTGGGCCTCAGTTTAAAAAAAAAAAAATGGTGAAAATTAGTCCTGCCCTTACCTGCCTACCAGGGCTGGCCGAAGGATGATTATATGTGAAAAGACTTGAAATGTGGTTTCAACAAGGAATTTTTGTTGCTATCCTGAGGAAAAATGGATCAGTCACTTCTCCAAGGAATAGTATAAAAGAACAGTTTTAGAGATCAGTGCTCAATTTCTGGATGGGGCACATTTCTTAGCCACCGGCAACCCTATATATTCCACATGGGACAGCTTCTGGGGGGACTCTGAGAGCCACAGGGACCAGAAGACAATCATGAGAGGCAAGGCCCTGAAGGAAGGGTGGGGAGGCTCACCTACATCCCTGATAAGGAGTCTGTAGATGCCTTTTGCCCTCTCCCCCCAGCACCGCACAGTGGAGAAGGTCCAATCGTTGAAGCCATTGGGATCCCTAGGGACAGAACGAAACAGAAAACATGGGAAGCATGGCACAGGGAGCTGCCCCTTTTCCAGAAGCATCATTTTCTTACTGTAGTAGGCACAGAAAGGAGCTACAGTCATTTTGGAGGGTGTCACATGGGGTTCTCAAGGGCTGTCCCTTGCTCCTGGGATCTCAGGGAATGAGGGACTTGGTTCCATGTGGCAGAGTGAAAAAAGCTAACCTGGAGAGAGCACAGGTCTGGGAGTCCCACAGATCTATATTTATTCTTACTCACTCAGGCACTTCTAGCTCCATAATTTGTTCACTCATTTGCCAAAGGAGGTTACAAAGTCTATTTCTTTAAGGATCAGAGCAAATATATGTAGAGTACAATGCCTAGCACATTGTAAACACTTGAATAAAGCATGTGATCAACAGCTTCCAGCTGCCAAGAATAGCCAGTGCCACACTTGCTTAGGACAGTGCCAGTATCTATTTGAAAAGGCTCTTGTTGCAGAGAGCTCAGGGGTCATGGACAGATGTACGTACGAGTCCATGCTGCGGGGGGCGCCGATAAGGGACATCATGCCACTGGGGCAAAACAGTTTCAGTTCCAAGCTGCCGCGTCGTGGGTGAGTGATGGAGACTGTCACTGCCACATGCTCCAGGGTCTTCAGTCCTGACATCTCCAGGTCCGTCCTGCTGACTGTAGGAAGTCAGGCTGGGCAGCCGGGAATCCAGCCCACAAACACTTATACCCTCACTTCATCCCAATGTACACAAAAGCATGAGCTTACTGAAGCCACACACACAAACATCTATGGCAAACTGAACCGTGACCCAGTGTACACTGGTGACAGGAATGCAGTGCTGCTTTGGAGTTCACAACCTAGTTTAGAGTATTGTTGGGAAGACAACATACACAACCAAGACACAATATAAGAACCCAACTGAAGGGCTGGAGATGTAGTAGTAAAGAGCCTGCCTAGGATACTAAAGGCCCTGGGTTTGATCCCCAATACCGCAAAAACAAAACAAAAAGCAAAGCAAAACAAACAAAAAACAATAAAAACCAAAATAAAACAAAAAAATAAGAACCTAATTGAGTAACTTCAGTCATTCATTCATGCATCCAAAAATTATCTACTGAGTACATCCTACTTTTCAGGCACTGTACTAGATGCTGGGAATGTAAAGATAAGTTGGGCATGAACCCTGCCTTATACTCACAAATGGAAAATTATATGATATGACCTTGATAAGGGAAAAGACATAAGTCAGATGAGTTGAGGTAGATAATAGACATGCTGAAAAGGAAATGAAAACTGATTGGGAGAAGATATTCTAGAAAGAATTTACAAAGATAAAGGGCATGTATAAAGACGTGAACAAGTCTCATATATGGAAGACAATATAAGTATTAATTTTTTTCAGTACTGGGGATTGAACCCAGGACCTCGTACTTGCTAAGTGCTCTACCACTGAGCTACATGCCCTATCCTTTTAATTTTGATACAGGGTTTTGCTAAGTGCCCCTGGCCTCTTGCCTCAGCTTCCCAAGTCACTAGGATTGCAATATAAAATTGATTAAAACAAAATAAAGGGCTGGAGATGTGGCTCAAGCGGTAGCGTGCTCGCCTGGCATGCGTGCGGCCCGGGTTCGATCCTCAGCACCACATACAAACAAAGATGTGGTGTCCACCGAGAACTGAAAAATAAATATTAAAAATTCTCTCTCTTTAAAAAAAATTTGAACTTATTGTATCAAAATAGATTCTACTGCAATGTATAACAATTAAAAAATAATTTTAATTAAAAAAAAAAAAAACTACCAAAGTAGATAAACTTCAAGGAAATCATGCTGAATGGAAAAAGCCAATCTTCAAATGATACATACTACATAATTTAACTTACATGACATTTATTTTATTTTTTGGTACCAGCGATTGAACTCAACCACTGAGCTACATCCCCAGCCCTATTTTGAATTTTATTTAGAGACAGGGTCTCACTGAGTTGCTTTGTGCCTCGATAAGTTGCTGAGGCTGGCTTTGAACTTGCAATCCTCCTGTCTCAGCCTCCTGAGCTGCTGGAATTACAGGTGTGTGCCACCGCACCCAGCCTTACATAAAATTTATGAAATAATATAACTGAGGAGATGAAGAACAGACTTGGGGTTGCCAGGAGCTAGGGATGGGAAAAGAACATGAGTGTGAGGTAACTCAAAGGAGTCCCGTGATGGCATATTCTAGACCTTGGTTATGGTGATGGTTACACAAGGATACACACATACACAAATAGAGACTGCATGTCAACCTAGTGAGAACCAACCCATATGAATTGCACTAATGTCCATTTTTTGGTTTTGGCATTATTATTGTGTACAATGTGATTAGAAGAGGGTGCATGAGATTTTCCTGTACATTATTTTGCAACCTCCCATGAATCAACAATTATTTCAAAATAAAATTGGAAATAAAAACTAATGAAGTGGAAGACTCAATTTGGGCTTATTAAGAAATTAGATTGCAATAAAAGAATTCTTTTTAAAGCAACTTTTCTTCCAAGAATTCATTCCAATATATAAGACAGAGCAGTACCTTCATTTTACAGATGAAGAAGCTCAGAGAGGTATTGGATAGTAGGAGAAAGGAGACATAGGATGGGAAGGACTTTAACATTCTTTTTTAAAGATTTTAAACAAGCATTTAAGAGCTATTATAAATTATTGAGCAATGATGCAGTTTAAAATAAAAAATGCTCAAGGAAAGTTAATCTAACAGCTATCTGTGGGTAGGATAAACCAGGGAGAAGAAAACTAGCTCACTCTAGGGGTGAGGTGATGTGTGCGTGGATAATTGGGATGGAAGGAGAAAGGAAAGGCTCAAGGTACTCTTTTATGGGGGTGGGTGGGAGGAGCAGTACTAGGGATTGAAGCCAGGGCCTTAACCATGCTAGGTAAACATTGAGCTACATCTCTAGCCCTTTATTTTTTAATTTTGAGACAGTCTTGCTAAGTTGTTCAGACCAGCCCTTGAACTCCCACTCTTCCTGCCTCAGGCTCCTGAGTAGCTAGGATTACCGCCATGCCCAGATTTCTGTGCTTCCTAGTCCTTGATCTCCTCTTACTCCCCCTCACTTTGTTCACTGAAGAGTGACGGCTCCCCTTCTCCACTGTGACATCAACCTCTCTCTAATTCCATAACTTCTTTTATTTTTGGTAATGGGGATTGATCCCAGGAGCGCTTTACCACTGAGCTACATTCCCAGTCCTTTTATTTTGAGACAGGGTCTCACTAAGTTGCTGAGGACCTCAATAATTTGCTAAGGCTGGCCTTGACCTTGTAATCCTCCTGCCTCGGCCTCCTGAGTTGCTGGGATTGCAAGTATGCACCATCATATCCAGCCTAACGCCACATTTCTTTACTTCCCATGTCAGCCACTCATATCCAAACCATATCCCAGGACTGCTTTACTTCCAAATGGCTTAGTAAGTTCTATTGTGTTTTCTTATTATATAAGCAATATAGATTAATTGAAGATAAATTAGAAAAGTATGGGGCTGGGGATGTGGCTCAAGCGGTAGCGCGCTCGCCTGGCATGCGTGCAGCCCGGGTTCGATCCTCAGCACCACATACAAACAAAGATGTTGTGTCTGCTGAAAAACTAAAAAATAAATATTAAAATTCTCTCTCTCTCTCCCTCTCTCTCACTCTCTCTTTAAAAAAAAAAGAAAAGTAGATGAGCAAAAGTCAGAATGTAGTCAGGTGTGGTGGTGCACGCTTGTAATCCCAGAGGTTCAGGAGGCTGAGGCAGCAGCAGGATTGTGAGTTCAAAGCCAGCCTAGCAAATTAGCAAGGTCCTAAGCAACTCAGCAAGACCCTCTCTATAAATAAAATATTAAAAAGAGCTGGGGATATGGCTCAGTGGTTAAGCACTCCTGGGTTCAATTCCTGGTACCAAAAAAAGGAAAAAAAAAAAATCATAATGTAAAGGCACCCATATTCCTCATAAAATGTTGATGATTATTCAACACATCATACCCAGCCTGTGTGTGTGTGTGTGTGTGTGTGTGTGTGTGGTTTGTTTTGTTTAATTCCACCTGTCTCGCTTTGTCTGAAAATAACCCCCTCCTTCTGTTTGCTTGGCCCTTCATTTCCTTGCTATCCATCAAGTTCTTTCCTTCAGCCTGGCTGAGGTCCTGCAGCTCCTCTCTCCAACACTCTGTTCACACCTCAAGGTCCCCTTGCTTTCTTGTCCATTCACAGCAGTCTCTGGCAAACGTGGAACACTGGATCAGCCCAGTTATCCATCTTCTTGGCTGGGTCTCCTTGCTTATGTCTTTCCTACTACACACAAAAAATAAACACAACTGAACCCTTTCTCTACTGTTCATTTTTCTCTGCCTCCTAGTGTTGAGAACATGGGCTCTGGAGCCATCCAGCTTGGGTTTAAATCCCAGCTATTCCACTACTTGCTATGAGAATTGAATTAGTTGCCATATCTGTAAAATGAAACACCACATAGGACACGGTTGCTGGGATTGATTACAGTATTGATACCTAAAGTGCTTAAAACAGGGACCTACCAAATATTAAGGTTACATCATTATTAGGTGTCATTCCTTTTCCTTTACTGTCAAACTTCTTGAGAAAGTCTTATATATTCACTATGGCTAGTTTGACCTTTTTTTCCTACAAAAATAGTTTTGTATGCACTTTTTTTTTTTTTTTTCCAGGACTGGAGATTGAACCCAGGGCTTGTCCATGCTAGGCAAGTGCTCTATCACTGAGCTACAGTCCCAGCCCTTTCGATCCTCTTGTCTCACTTGGCCTCCTGAGTAACCGGGATTATAGGTGTGCGCCATGGTGCCCAGCTCTAAGTCCAGTTTTAATTGGAAGTTGGTTCTAGAGTACCTATCATAAAGAAGAACAGTTCCTTACTCTATTCCTAATCTTTGTGATCCACTCTCCAGAGGCAAACACTGATTATTTCTGGTTTCTTCTGGGATCTACCTTCATGTTTCTAGATAATAGATATGTACAGCTATTTCATGGTTTATCTACTTTTTTTTTTTTTTTCTTTTCGAGAAAAGGTTTCACTATATTGCCTTGAACACTATGTTGCCTGAATAGGCTGACTTCTGGGCTCAAGTGATCCTCCTGCCTCAGCCTCTGGAGTAGTTGGGACTATGGGCACATGCCACTATGCCCAGCTTTCATGGCATATCAATTTGAGACATTATTTATTGATTTCCAATATGGCTGATGAGGATTTAACACACATACCCACACCTTCTCTCCAGCTTGCCCTTCTTTCTGCTTCTCAAACTAATTATATAATAATTTTTAGTTAGATCAATATTTTATCTACCTTACAATGACCCTGCAAATACAATACTGAATTTAGCCAGGCAGCAGACAAGGATTATACTTCCCTTCCTAAATGATTTGTTTACCCCTCTGGAGTTAATAATTGCCTTGTTTTTGTGGTTTACTTAAATTCATATCCCTATCAGTAATTCTTCCCAAACTGCACAAAAGAATCATAAACATCCCTGGATACCATTATTCTAAATAAACCAACAGATCAGGAGCTCATTCAGTGATATTTGCCCTGGGAATTCTCTCTGGAAGCCCCTGTCCCATTCCTATCTGGGGCACTGCTGTTGGGGTGGGACCTTCCTTTACCCTGGGCTT